TTTGCAAATCTTTTTGGTTGGATGAATTGAGACATTTTTATAGAATGGATAAAACATTTTGTGAGGTATTCATACTGTTCTCATGAATCTCCAGTTTTGTTACTTCTGGACAGCCATAAAAGTCATATTTCTGTTAGAGCTTTTGATCTTGTAATTCAACATGGAATTACAATGCTAAGTTTTCCTCCCCATTGTACCCATAAAATGCAACCATTGGATAGAACTGTTTTTGGACCATTGAAAAGGTTTTACAATGCTGTGGTGATAATTGGATGGTCACAAATCCAAGACCTATGACCATTTATGATATTGTTTCAATAGTTCGCGAACCATATGCAAAAGCTTTCTTAGCATCTAATATACAGAGAGGATTTCAAGTAGTTGGCATTGAGCCATTTAATCCAGAAATTTTTAAAGATGATAAATATTTACCATCATCAGTTACAAATCGTGCTGCTCCAAATGTAGTAAACACAATTCTTTTGGAACCTGAAATGACTGTAGCACATTTTGATGGCATGGAGCCAGAAATGCTTGTAGTACATCATGAAACAAGTTTTTCGAACAAAGTGTCACCAAGCATTGCTTCATTACTCTCACCTGAAGTTTTGAAACCTTACCCGAAAGCATCTGCTAGAAAAAGAGGTGTTAAATATAGGCAATTAAAAACAAGGATTTTGACTAATAATCCAATCAGAAATGAAATTCGTTTGTCAGAAGAAAAGAAAACCCTAAAACAAATCAACCAACAAAAGAAACTCATCGCAAAAGATAAAAAAAGGGGAAAAGTTAAAAACTACTTGCTTAGGAACAAAACAATGTAATTTAAAAACAATGTAATTTAAAAGCAGCATCACGACTTGACTTTGACAAAGGATGATAATATAAAAAAATAATCTTGTAAACTTTAGTTCTAATAAAAGTCTTGTATGAATCTTGTATTTTCTTAAACGTAAACTTAAAATACTGTATTCTTATAGACTTTATAAGCTTCAAGTTTTGCAAAATTTAACACATATATATGTTAGTAGTATATAACGGGCTTATTTTCATATATATATATATATATATATATATATATATATATATATATATATATATATATATATATATATATATATATATATATATATATATATATATATATATATATATATATATATATATATATATATATATATGTTTTAAATTTTACCTTTTTTTTTAGATGTATTATATAATATACACTAATACCCTTCAACTAATGCATTTGTAGCACTTAGGTATAGCAGTATTAAACATGTAAATAATGTTACTCATATAAGATTAAAGCGCCCCATATCGAAGATCATACATTGATCATTGATCTTTTGCAAGGTTTGTTGTAATATTGAAATATACCACTTTCATTAATGTTTTTTATTAAAACATTTATTTTTACTTAAAGACAGATTGTTCTAGTTTAGTTTATTAATTAATAAGTTTTTATATCTAGATTGGGTTGTTTGCAGTTTTCAAAATACTGCAACGGCGATCAATGCGCTCCCATCTCCCCTACTTTAAAAATAGGCGGGAACACGCTAATCCCTTGATGAATGATATGAAAATGATGAATGTATTTGAAATAAATATCTACCAGCATTTAATTTTCATTTATCGTTTTAATCACAATATCTCTCCTATAAGCTTTAATAATAAGTTTGAGTTAAATAAAAATGATAACTATAATCTTAGAGCGAATATGTTGAGCACATATAAACTGCCTAGGATAATAAATACAGGGTTTCTCACCTCATTTTGACAATGTATCACTACATTTCGACACTTTTGCATTCAATTTCGACATTGTATTACTACATTTCGACACTTTTGCATTCAATTTCGACACTGTTGCATCACATTTCGACAATTTAAAAACACTCAATTTTGAATTAAAGTATTTATATTTATGATGAAAATTTTTGTTAAATAATAAAATTTGGTTGAATTTAATCGGGACAATAAAATAATTAATGTGGCTATTTTTTTAATTTTGCATTATTTAAAGTGGGTACTGACATCATGGTTTCAATATTTTTTTGGATATACGTAAAATATATAGGTAAAATAAACAATGTGGATATTAATTATTTCAAGTTACCATATTAGTTGTTTTTAATTGCCATACTCATTATTTTTATTGGCGGATAAATTATGTCCAATTGCCAAAAAAAAAAATATACATGCGCTTTGGAAAATATCCCAACAATACATAACTAAATTGTCATCAAACTATAAATTAATGTTATAATTTTTTATTAAGTAAATAAAAGCATTTGTCTCTTCAATACAACAAGAGTTCATAATAAAAGCTTAAATATCATTTTTAATATTTATAAACAGCAATGCCGAATCAAACAATCAACAATGAAAACCGTTCAAAGATAATTGAATCTTACTTAAATGGAAATTCACCATCAGAAATTGCAAATATTCTTGGATTTAAATGAACTACAATCTATTCGATTATTAAAAAATATAAAGATGGTTTGCCGATAGAATGGCAATTAAAAGGTGGTTCTAGAAACAAAAAATTAACAGAAGAATCCAAGGTACTAATCAAAAATTGGATTGATGATGATTGTGGAATAACTCTTAAGGAAATTAAACAAAGACTTTTTGAACAAATCCATTTCAGTGAGTCAATCTACTATAGCAAGATGCATTGATAGTTTTAATTATACTTTGAAACGTGTTCACAATATTCAAGAGAGAAGAAATTCGGAAGACGTTATTAATGAAAGAGCTTCTTATGCAGAAAGATTCATGAACATTTTGTCTTCTATGAATGACAATAAAATGTTCTTTACTGATGAAGTAGGATTTAGTCTTTCAATGCGAGTTAGAAGAGGACGTTCTTTAGCTGGAAAGAGGGCCACACAAACAGTGACCAATATACGGTCAAGAAATATTTCCGTCTGTTGTGCAATGAACAAAAACGGAACTTTGAAATATGAAGCACAAACAAAAGCATTTAATACAGAAAGCTTTTCAGATTTTTTTTTGTTTAGTATTAGCACAATTAGCTGTTAATGAAGTTGTTGGAGCTATCTTAATTTTAGACAATGTTCGTTTTCATAAAACTGCTGTTGTTCATAATGAAATAGTACTTGCTGGGCATTCTTTGATATTTTTACCTCCATATTCCCTTTTTTTGAACCCTATTGAAAAAAATGAATGGAAACAGTTTATCAGAAGATGTTCGTCTAGAACTGAGGAGGAACTGCTTGAAAATATACAAAACGGTGCATTGAATATTACTAACACAAACTGTAATAATTATTTTGCGCACTTACTAAGGTATATGGTTCCGTGTTCAAAAATTGAACCAGTTATTGAAGAATAAACTTACTTTTGTAATTTTTGTTTTTATTAGCAATTTTTATTTGCAATTACAATTCTTTTTATACGATAATATTTTGTTTAGATTTTAGTTTGTATCTAAACTAAACATTTTTTTTATCTAAATGAATTTAGAAAGAATCTAACTGCTTTATTTGTATATTAATTTAAGTATTATTAGCGCTGTCGAAATTGAATGCAAAACAGTCGAAATCAAATGCAATGGTGTCGAAATTGAATGAAACATTGTCGAAATGTACTGATACAATGTCGAAATTGAATGATACGTTGTCGAAATGAAGTGGGAAACCCTGTAAATATTCAGAATACAGCATTTTATATCGAGGTCCAAAAGTATGGAATATTTTTCAAAAAGGATTTAAAGGTACGGTGAGTTCGTTAAGTTCATTCAAGTTTTTAACAAAAAAAGAAATCTTTAAAACCTGTGAAACATTTTTTGTTAATAATGCTTTGTATAAATTCTCTTAGATACCTTTTTGTTTTGTTTCTACTTTTGTTTGTCGCTTGACAAATTTTATTAGCGGATTACGCATTTTGTTATGATATTTTGTTGAAATTTTTTTTGAATGTAATATTACGATATTTTAATTAAATCTTGTTAAATGGGTTCTATGAAAAGATTGCGACGACGTTCTGTCATCCTCATCTTCTTTGAGCCCCTATATCCCCTTTGAGCCCCTGTTTTACTTATTTTGTTAAATTTTATATCATGTAGTGGAATTTGTAAAATTCTTATGTTATGTAAACAGAGAAAGAAAGGAAAAAAAAAACAAAAAAAAAAGTTTATGTATAAGTTATAAAAATTTACAGGTTGAAGATTATATAGTAAAACACAATATATTACAATTAGTAAATCGTATAATAAGATATATATTTTTTCGTTGAGTTATTTAATTTTCTTTTTTATAAGAAGAAAATAAGAAACAAATCAAGACAGAAATAAGTGAGCAATGATGACTTTTTTCAGTCTAATTATTTTAGGTACTTATTTAAAAAAATAGGTACTTATTTAAAAAAATTTTTTAAGATCGAAGTAATTTTCTAATAGAAATCGTTTAGATTCTCTTTTGATTTGTTCTAGCGAGAAATTTAGAAAAGTTTTATTTTTAACAATATTTTTCAAAATTTTTTTTCCATATTAATGGTCCACGGTATTGAATTTGAAACGAAAAAAGTTATCAGTTGAAGAACAATAAAGTTATCAGTTGAATACTTTGTAGGGTATTTATGAGTAAGTTCGGTGAAGTAAGAGTGAAATAAACCATAAACATTGAGTGCATTAAGTTCCATTAAAAGAGATTCACCATTAACAGTTCTGTTAACACCAAATATAATAACTATATTATTGTTAATTATTTTTTTAATAAATGATAAATCAGCTATATCATCGACTAATAAAACCGTAAACCTTGCGGATTCAAAATTAATCGACTAAAAATCAATTTATAAAAAGCCAATTCTAATTTTGATGGAATAGATATTTTATAAATTGACTTTAGCCTCCCTCCCCCTTTAACAAATTGCAAACACTCTCTCCTCCCCATATTCGTGACGTAATTTGTGGACGACCGTATACCACATACAAGTGGCGCTCTCCGTTTTCTACTTATTATTGTAAACAAAGCGCGTACAACTCTTCTCAAATGACATTTTAAATTCTTTTCATTTAAAAACGTTGTATTACATTTGGAATCGGAATAATTAAAAATAACATTATAAATTCTAAAATATGAATATTACTAAATCACTTGTGCATTTAATGCTTCTAGCGTTATCTAACGCATTTACGAATAAAACACTCGTTTTGGTTAATTTGGTATGTTTATGCATTGCCTCAAATAGTTAATTTGTTTTATGTCAAATCGACAGTGTTGTTAACCCTTAGCCTTACCAAAGTTCTAAGCCCAAAAATTTTTTATTTTTAGTCTTAAAACCTCGTGACTTTTACAGTTTATAAAAAACTTTATTCAAATTATTTAAATGTTCTGTTAGATGGATTAAGTCTATTGAAATTATTCGCTCATCTGATATTTTTCTAAAAATAAGAAAAACGTTAAGTAGGTAGGCATTCCTCATAAATAATCAGTTTTATTATCCAATGGCAATGGCAATCCAATGGCACTAATTTTAAAATTGACAACGATAAAAAGTACAGTTAATAACTGATTTAATGGAATGCCTAATTTTGATATATAGTTGTGGTTTAAATAGTTAAAATATAATTGTGATTTAAATAGTTAAAAGGAATTTGGATAAATTCTTTTAACAATTTAAATCGCAACTAAAAAACATAGATATGTTTTCTGGCACTTAGTTCAAAGATGCTTCTGGCACTTATTTCAAAGCAGCTTCTTTATTTATGTTTATAAATACAAAGTTATAAAAAAAAGCTACTTATATTGTCCTAAAAATGCACACCATAAGCACTAATAAGAGCACCATCATGGATTATCTAAAAAGTGCTACATTACTTCCAATAATAAAGAAATTAGACTGCTACAGATACAGAAGACTTATAGACCAGTTTCTAATTTAGTATTTATCAGCAAGCTAATAGAAAGAGTAGTTTCCAATTGTCTTGATCCCCACATGTAAACAACAACTTCCTATAGAACATCAATATGGATACAAGAAACATCACTCAACTGAAACACTTTTGTTTTAGCTTACCAATAATACATTTGAACACTTGATCTGAGTGCTGCCTTTGACACCATTGATCAGCAAAAACTACTTGGACTATGAACTAGTGAAATAGATATAATTAACTCAGCTCACAAGTAATTTGAATCATTTTTAGTTAACCGTACCCAAAAAGTTAAAATCATATTCATAAGTTAAAATCTTATATTGTTTTAACTCATATTCTACGAACCAAAGTGTAAAATATGGAGTACCACAAGGTACAGTCCTGGGTCCAAGTTTCTTTAATATCTATATGAGACTACTGTACAAATATTTGAACATATTAAATGTTAAAACTTTTGGATACTCAGATCATTGCCAAACTCTAAAAGCATTCCTTCTTTCATCTCAATATAATGCACTAGTCCTGGATATACCAAAATGTCTTAGTATATCCAGGACTATTCATTCATCCATTTAGATAATACATATCTAAATGGATAAATGAATCATTCTTATGTATTAAGCAATCGATAACAAAAATGTTAATTATGGCATCACCTAGTATTCAAAAATTCGCCAGTATTTAAAAAGATATTATTATTAAAGGTACTTTAGTTAACAATGAATGTATTAGATTTGTTGACTCAGCAAAAAGTTTAGGTGTGATACTTGACAATGAGTTATCTTTAAAAACAAATAAATAAGATTGCTAAAAATTGCTACAATATATTGAGCAAAGTATCCAAAATAAAACAATTCTTATTTGCAAGATTTATGCACCATAGTATGTTCACTAATATTTGTGTAACTAGGTTATTGGAACTACTTCTACTTTGGAATTGAAAAGACACTATTATAAAAACTGCAGTCTGTTCAAAATTGTACAGCAAGACTAGTATTTAAAACTAGAATAGAAAATCATGGAAGCGACCAGGAATTTAACAATTTGCATTGGTTGAAAATTAGAGGAAGAATCTATTTCAAGTTCCATTTAATAATGCACAAATCTATTATTTTGAAAGCACCAACGTCATTATGCAAGTTAATTTACTACTCAATATCAGAAAGGAAACTAAAATTAAAGGAACCAAATAACAGTAATTGTTTTGGCAATTGAGCATTATCCCACTATGGTCACAAACTTTGGAATATACTTCCAAATATCATCCGTAACGAAAAAAACACAACTTTAAGAAAAAACTTAAATCTTATTTAATGGTGAATGGTAAACTATTCCACCAGAAAACTATTTAATGTTAAATTAAAAACTCTTGAATAATAATATTAAAAATTTTACTAATATAATAATTTGTTGCACAGCTGAGCAAGTGTTTCGCCAACTTATCCATTATTCTGGCAAAACACAGTAGTTGTGGGTAAACCTATGTATTTATTTATTATGTATAAAAATATATAAATATTTTTGTGGATTTAAGTTGGTTCATTATAATATATCCTGCTTACTTTTTTTTTGAAATGCTCAGATCGCACATGATTTGGTAGCTGGTTAAACAGTGGCATAAATCTCTTAGAAAGCATTTCATATGTATAAATTCAAAACTTTATATTTTTATTTTTAATTGATCTTAAAATGCTCTGGCGTTTATATCTTTATATAGGTGCGACCTGAAAAATGCGCAATATATTTTAATAAAAGTTTCAAGATTAACATAGCAAAAAGTTGTAGGTAGCTATATGAACCTTTATTTTTGATAGAAATAAATAAATTTCACTATCAAAGTCACTATCAAAGTACTATGTAGACTTTACAGGATTTATTTATTTTAGGTATTATAATATAGATTTTATTTTAATATAAGTATTATTAAAAAATTATAATTATTTTTAGTTTTTTTAAATAATTTTGTAGAAAGTTAGATTAGATTGATATTTATGTATTTTTTCAAGTTGTTTTTATCAGAGTTGATAAACATTTTTCAAAGGTTAGTTATGATATTGTTAACAATTGAACATGTTGTTTGTTTAATTCATTAAAAGTATTTATTTAGGTGTATCGACATGGTGCTCGTTCCCCTATTGAGTTTTTTCCTAATAACCAATATATAAATCAATGGCCTGTTGATCCCGGAATGCTTACAAAGGTTTATTTATTAAGATAAAAACTATTTTAATTTATCAAATGGTTAAAGAATACATATCCTAATAGGTATATAATTCAAAATAATGAATACATGCCCTAATACATTTAGTTTAATCTAAATTTTATATTTACAGGTTGGAATGAATATGGAATTTGAATTAGGAAAATTTTTAAAGAAGCGTTATATAGAATCTAGTTTTATTAATCAAAGTTATATTGCAAAAGAGGTGAGTAAATTTGATTGTCTACTTATAAAACTAATTAATGAATTATAAATACATCAACAAAATAAATCAATATATCCAGGCCTTAATATAGCAGTTTATCTTCAATTTGACCTCTCTCTATGTGATAGCTTGTGAATGCTACAGGTTGGGTTTGCAAATTTAGCTGGTGAATTTTAGCTTAAACAGAACTCAGTTGTTTACTACTTATCATTATTTCAGTTGATAATCCTATATTAATAAGTTTCAATATAGGAATATATCACTCTTACTCAGGGGCATCTTTTGCTGTACTTTTTTGGCTTAAGAAGTGGAAGATGTATTCATAAATACCGCAGTTTTAGGGACCCCATTTTTTCAGGAGAATTTTTTTTCTTATTTCCTTTTTATTCTAATATGTCAGTTTATGGGCCCTGCTTTAAAATATTATCAGTACCTGAAATCTTTAATCCAGCATTGGATTCTAAAAATGCGCAAAAATGAAATTTAAAAACTTTTTTTACTTCTTTAACTCATATTTCTCTAAGTAACAAAAAGTGTAACATAACATAGCAAAAAATACATAACAAAAAATGTAACATTATAACATAAATTAAAATACAGTAGAACAATCATTTAAAGTTTCTATTAAATTTCACATTCTGAAAATGAAGGTTAAAAAACAAAACAAAACAAAAAAAACATTAGCTTTTTACTTTGTCCTGTATTCATACTTTAATCACTTCATTTTTTAAAACTTTTTACACAAATGAAATTTATAAATCATGCACTTTCTTTTAAAATCAATCAGTATATATAAGTCAGGCTGTTAACTTAAAGTAACTTTCTTAAAATAAAAAATGTGGTAGTGGTGTAGTGGTAAGAGCGCTCGCTTTGTAAGGTTCGAAGTTCGACTCCCACCATGTCCCTGGAAGTACCGCGCTCAACTTAATTTCTCCGCGCAGCGGCCTTGCTTGTCAAGGTTCGTGTTTTAGAGTTAAAGAGTTGAGAGAGGGTTGTACCACGATTTACAACAAAAAAAAAAAAAAAAAAAATGAGTAGCCTCCTCAACTGTAGTGGCCCCCTCGGGCCTTGGGGAGGTGAATAATTAAAAAAAAAAGGTCCCTGAATGATAAAATGGCCTATAAAAATAAAAAAGTTATCATTTTTAAAATGGCCTCAACATTTGCGGTGGCCTACTGGCATTTTCCTCTGATGCGCATGGGTAAAGATGGTGCTGCTCTTACTGAATCTTTTACTTTTTGTCTTCTTATCTTTCACAACAAATCTTTCGCATAAACCATATATTCAATCCATAGCAAAGTTAGCATCTGCTATGACCTCACTTGTTGTGCAAATGTGGATTGTAAATGTAGTTGGACCTGCTTTAGTTTTCTCTTTTCTTGATATTAAGGAGTACATTAAAAATAATGAAAAGAATTTTTAGGTGTTACTCCTGGTGTTTTATATTAAATGTAAACTATTTTGGTATGCCTTATTGGAAAGTTTAAGATATTAAAATATAATCTCTTATTTTTAATTTAAAAAATGTCAATAAAGTAAATCACACTAAATTTAACTTTAAAATAGAATTAGGATATTATTGGTTTCCACGGAGAGATTTAAAGTAATTTGAAGTTCGAAAGAGAGTAGATGATCATACTTCTACCTGAAAGTTAAATTTAGCCTGACATGGTTTATTGTTAACCCTTAATTAAAACCCCAGACAAAAACATTCTAAATTTTTTAGAATGCAAGAAAAAAAAAAAAAAGGTAAAGAAAAAGAAAAAAACCCTAAAAATAAACCAATAATTTTTTAGAAATAACTAATTGTGAAGGTGCAAAAAGAAATCACAATACTTTTAATTTGAAACTGGGTTTACATACATAGATGAAGTTTACACTAATAGATGAAGAAGAGGTGTGAGGCTAGTCAGCAGAATTAGAGGTGTGAGGCTAGTCAGCAGGAGGCTAGTCAGCAGAATTATTCAGGAGGCTAGTCAGCAGAATTATTAACTCTTAGCCTAGTTGATAATGTAGTTGATGTTATGTGTAATGATTTAGTTGAAATGATAACTTTGAAATGTTATATGTTACAGTTGATATAGTTGAAATGATATGTTATGCAAGTATGATCTTAACCTTAGTGGTTTGCAAGTATGATCTTAACCTTAGGTTACATTTAGGTTTACATTCGAAGTTCAGATGAATCTAGATGTTTACAAAGTGCAGAAACTCAATTGGCTGGTCTCTATCCACCAATAGGTTATCAGGTTTGTTTAAAATGTAGATATGTTTAATATCAATATAAAACAAAAGATAGTTTTATTTGTTTTATATTGATATTAATTTTTATTTTTTATTGATTTTTATAAAAATGACAAAATAATTGTAAAATATTTGTTTTTATTAAAAAAAGAGTTTCTAAATTTGGTATTGAAAGTTTTTAAAGATATTTTTAACTTTTTCAGCTTTTTATAGAACTTTGTTTCCTACAGATTAAAATAAGAAGGAAAAGAAAGTTTAAAATGAATATGTAACAGAAAAAAATATTTTAAATATGTCCTTTTGTTTTTCAAATATGTATTTTATTTTTTAAACGTCTTAGATATTTTACTCTAATTTTTTAGTCAAAGGTACAATAGGCATAAATCAGATTACTCTACTAATAGTATTCCTACTGGATTAGCAGCTTGACTGTCTTGTATGATTTTAGAGCATGGCCTTCTAGAAATACAGGCCTTGATAAAATACCTTTTGACTGGAGGCCGATCCTATATACTACTTGCGGTAGTGGTGTAGTGGTAGAGCGCTCGCTTCATAAACGAGTGGTTCCGAGTTCGATCCCCACCACGTCCCTGGTAGTACCGCGCTCAACTCGTTTCTCCGCGCAGCGGCCTTGTTCGTCAAGGTTCGTGTTTCGGAGTTATAGAGTTGAGAGAGGGTTATAGCCACAAAATAAGTAGCCTCCTCGTTTGTAGTGGCCTTCTCGGCCTTGAGGAGGTGAAGTAAAATAATAAAAAAAAAAAAAAAAAATATGGATAGATTTACATGGTATGAAATATTTTTGTTTTGCGATGGTTATACTCAACAGCAATTAGTCTAAACACAAATTTTAAATGATTGTGTATTGTTATTTACTTAGCAAAGATGAATGTTAGTTTAAGATCAATCATTTTGTTAAGTACAACATTTATCTAACAGTTATCAATTATCCCTCAAAAATGTTGTGTTCCGTGCTGTACCTCAAAAGTGCAAAATATACCTGATAATTACCTCAAAAGTGCAAAATATACCTGAGCTGGTTATTTTTGTTTATTTATTATTTTTTTGAATGGTTTGAAGAGTATAATAATTTTATACATAACTATAGTTAAAACAATTTGATGTAAAAATCAACAAATAATGTGTGCTGTGACACGGCTTAGTCACTAATAAAACAAAAACGCTGACAGCGTAATAAACATATCCACTTCAATTAAGCAGGTTGGAACCTTCAAAATTAACTAAGTGTTACTGAGTATTTTGTGTTTTGGCTGATCATCTAGCCGAATAACCAGTATATGGTCTAATCACTATTCGTGACATCTCTATTGAAAATATATGAAGCAGTCAAAAAGTTCAATGAAACTAGCACCATTTCAAATTATGGGACCAGCACCATTTCAAATTAGGAAAAAGATAACATTTTCGAATTCTAAATCAAAGCAATGTTAGATAAACATAACCTCATTACAAAAGAGGATTTAATGGACAACTAAGTCCAACTAAGTAATAGTCAACAAAAACGGAGAAACCCCTTTCATAGATAACAGGGAAGAAGTTGTCAGAAACAGTCAGAGAAATAAGTATCTGAACAAAACATTTATTTATAAAAAATAAATTTTGACAAGTTGTTTTAGAAAAAAATAACTTTAGAATAAATAACTGTATTATATTCTGAAAGAAAATTTAATCAAGAATTCGATAAGTAACAAAAAATTATAATAATTAGATTTAATTGCTAAAAAATTAATGATACATTGCAAACTATGCAAGTTTTTAGCATTTAAAATGTGTCTAAACAAAATTTTAAAAATTCAATGTTTCTCCAAGTAATCATTTTTTTTTTGACTTTTTAATATTGTGTAGCTTTTATAACTTTTGTAAGTTGACATGGGATTGGTTCAACTAATTTCTTTGTTGTATCTAGATTGATTTGAGTCCAAACTTCTTGGAACATGATCTTCAGCTCTTCTTTTCTTTTTAGACATTGTGTGCCACATTTTTGATTTAGAATAGCCAAGAGGTGTTTAATTAGATTGAGATCCAAACTTTAAACATACCATTCAAGTAAATCATTTGGTTCTGGTTTCAATTAAATCAATTGCAATTAATTGAAAAACTTTTTTGCTTTCATTGACATATTCTTAGGGTTGTTGTCATGTTATAAGCTTTCCCAATTGCAGTTTTTTGTTGGCACCAGAAAATTTTTATTGAGAATGTTGACATAAACCTCAGAGTCTGTAATTTCATAAATAAACTCCAGTTTTCTTTTTACGTTCCAAGCCATTGATCCCCAAACTATAGCATTGTCTCCACTAAATTTTACTGTTTCTCAAATGCAACTGAGTGTGAATGCTTTATCTTTTTTTCTCCAAGCTTTTGAGGCCCATTAAACTTCACAAGATTAAGTTTTGATTTGTCAGTCCACAAAGCTTTCTTCCATATTCACATGTCTTTAAGCAAATGCAATTTTTTTTTAAAGAATTTTTTAAAGGAATGATTTCTTGTGTGGAGCTCTTGCTTGGAATCTACTTTCTTTCAATTGATTTTGAATAGTATAGGCTCACTTGCATTTCAAAATTTTTTTAAAGAAGGCTTGATGCTTTTGGCGCTGTTTTTAAAACCAGCACTTGTTCTTGCTAGAAAAGAAGATAAGGAAATGATAAAGTAATTTTTTTGACCATTCTGATTACAGGAAATGCCGACAGAGAGTTTGTAGTTATTCTGATTGTATTTAAATATGCAAGAATTAGTTTTAGAAAATTTCCCCCATGACTGAGCCATTGGTTGCTCAGAAAGCAGATGGATGTGCTCAGTGACATTCTAGGAATATATGACAGACATTTTTCATCTTTGGCTGACTAACAAAAATAATACACTGTGCTCTTCTGAGACCGCCAGGGTAAATTTTGGTTTACTCTAATTTTTTTTGTTTAATTATTATTATTGGGGTTTGTAAATTGTTTTAAAATAATTTTAAAAATCTAAACTAACTTTTATACATTTAAAAAAAATGGATAGGGTATTACAATTTTAAAACAATTTTTTTTTAATCAAGCTATGGACACATAAATTATCATTAACAAAGTTTAATGCAATAAATGTTACAAAAAGATTAACAGCTGGAATGCAAATTCCTAATAATAATACTTTTTAAACAATAGCAATTATTTGATTATTATTGAAAGTTTAACAATAATAGCAACACCTATTTAAAAAAAATTTTTAGATGAGAAAATGGCTACTTTAAATTTTTTATACCAAACTCAATTACACTTTTCTTAAGCTGTTTTGCGTAATCATTGTGTTCCAAACGACGCTTGTATCACTTCCATATTTGATAGTGGTAGTGATGAGCACTTTCTCCAGCCTGCTCAGCATATACACCAAGCTCAAACTGATGATGAAGAAACGAAACAAGATGACACACTAAAATGTGAACTTTCCAGCTAATATTTAATTCATAGTTAAACTTTTCCAGAAGATGAAGCTGCAGTTTTTCAAAAACGTTTTTGAAATCTAAAACTGATTCAGCAATAGATTCTCCAATTACTGAGCTGAAACCTTTTTTTTCAATATTTGAAAACTTTCTAAGACAATTAACAACAGGCTGTAGAAATATTATATTTGGCTGCATAGAGGCTGCACTTAGAAGATTATCTTCTAGATCATCTAATTTATCTAAAAGTCTCTGTGAATTGTTACTGTCCAAACCTATTCCATGGTAACCTCTAAACATAATATAGTTTGATTTAAGCCATGTGTCAAAATCAGGCCACAAAGTAATTAATACTTTTACAAACATAGAAGTAATACCAATGAAAATGTGTAACTCTGGAGGAGGGATAAGATGTTCCAATAAAGTTTCTAAAGGTTCATCGAGATATACAATTCGAGGAGAAATGCAGTTTTTAAATTTCTTCATGTGATTATTTTTGCATCCATCTGCCACAAACTTATTGTAAATAATATCAATTGAACCTAAAGATCTTTTTTCTCCGTTCTCAAGAGTACTTTCTCCTTCACACCAGAGACAAGCATATTTACCACTGTGGCTGCTTAAACCAAATAAAGAGTTACCACATTTTAGATCAAATGCTATTGAAAATTTTGCATAATTCAGCGCCACTGGTTTCAGTAGTTTGCTAAGATTTCCATTATGTTTAGTTGAAGATGTTCTGAAACATCTTCAACTAAAGCTAAAACCAATGATCTTTTTACACCAGAATCATCTAGACTTTCTGAAGTTGTATTTTTGCATAATGGATCAAAAACATTTACATTACATTTAAGAAAACCCTGTCCAGCATCAATTGAAATTCTAACAACAGTGCAATAAGGATTCAAACTTTCTTTAATCATGCAAGGAGTTAAATCAGAAGTATCTTTTACAAATGACTTATCTTGCGACTTATCTCTTCATTCCCTGAAATGAATGATTCAGTTTTTACATCATAAAAATCTGAAAATACGTTATGCAGCTCCTCTATCTGAGTTGATATATTAGGATCTAACATCATCTTCCTTAAGTTTTGTCGCATATTTTTGCAAAGTAGTTTTGTTTTTCTTTTACTTAAGTTTAGAGTATTTGAGATTTCCATTATAGCTTCGAAAGACAATTTTTTAAGGCATGCTCTGCTACCTTTATTATCAGGTGTGCCAACAACAACAAGAAGGTTGTTTCCAAAAGTCTTTAAAGGAAACTTATCTCCAGGTTTAATATTGTCCTTTTTCATTTTTTTTGAGAATCCCAGAAGCAACTTGATCACTGGATACATTTCCAAGACCTTCTCCCAACATAATTAAGTTTTTTACAGCCTCACTCTTACAGCAAAAATGGGAAATTCCTTTACCTGAATTAAAGTTAAAAGTATGACAACATTTTATTACTAACTTTGATATTATTAAATTTGTAAACCATAAAAACAATGCACTAATATTGAATTAATATTGCAACAATTTATACAATAATAGCATTCACATATACATATGTATTTATATATATATA